GACTTGTTTTATGTATCAAATTACATAAATTTTGGTTGTTGTGTATGGAGACATATTTTTTATTGGAATCCTTGAGTTAACATTTGGGCATGCACACTAAATGATATGCGGGCTATGCGCACTAAATAGACGGATTCCAAATTCCAAAAATGGGGGGGAAATACTATGTAATTTGAGCCGGCCAGCTGTGCCTTCAGTACCACTGAAAGTGATTCCAGAAAACATACTACACATTTCATAACAATTGAATACRGTGGCAAAAGAGATCAAAAAGTAATAATTTCAAGTTCTAAACTTTGATTTGAAGTTATGAACTTCAAAATGTCCTGGTAGAAAGTCTACCAGGTTCTACTGAGCTAGTTTTTGGATGGCATTCATGATTGAAAAAGCTGGACTCATGATTGAAAAGGCTGGACTCATGATTTGAATCACCTCAATCGCCCTGAACCATTTTTTTGGTTTTGAGGGGGCTCGGGAATGTATTCGGCCATTCAGCAGTCATATTTAAAAAACTAGCTCAGTAGAACCTGGTACATGATGTACGAGCAAAAGTTCATAACTTCAAATCGAAGTTAAGAACTTGAAATTATTACTTTTTGCTCTCTTTTGCAACCGTATTCAATTGTTACGAAATGCGTGGTATCTCRATTTATGTTTTCAGGAATGGGYGATTGCCGTTAATCTAGATGGTCTACTTTTTGACAGACAGACAGACCAAAAATAGACCTTCTAGTCTCAATTTTTTGACTTTCTGTCAAAGCACAATCCAGCCTTGACAGAAAGTCTAAATCTAGACCGGAATCCAAGAATGAAAATCCGTTGTAGGACTCAAMTGAAAAGACCCGCCAAATTTAAGACTTGACTAAATTTTTACTACGTTACTAAATCTTTTCTTAAGAATGAAGAAAGCGCCGGTGCCATCATGGTGGAAGACATAAAGACAGAAAACACGATGTCCCCTGTGTTAGTCACTGCTCTTCTTTATCTTTGATTGAAACAGAYCAACTACTGGAGGCGCTGTCTCAAGAGAGGACGCCGGGGGAAATCCCTCACACAATATTCATTCCGCRAGCAAAGATGTCCACTCCTACGGCCGCACCAGTCCCTCCTCCCCCGGGAGGAGGGACAAAAGTAGAGGGGTCTGGTCCTAAGGCCGGTACTGCAAACTACTCAGAAGAAGAGCYCGTCTCATTGATGACTCTCATCAAGGAGATCCTTCCCATTGGTAACGGAGACTGGCTCATGGTGGTTCACAGACATGGACAGAGCTATCCATATGGCAGGACAAAGGATTCCATTAAAACCAAGTTCAACCGATTGAGGAGACAAAAGATGCCTACTGGGAACACCACTGGGAACCCCAACATCCCTGAGTCCGTACGCCTTGCAAGAGAGGCCCACTGGTTGATTGGGATCAAGGCAAACATTGGCAATGGAGAGGAGACCTTTGATCCAGTCAAAGGTTACATTGATGATGAGGATGATGAGGACTTGGAGAACGCTTTGAATCCAGGAGCAAAATCCAGCAAATCAAGCAACAACACGGCATCAACGTCCAGCTCAACCGCCATTGTCGGCAATGRGAACTGTCCTTGGATCATCCTCATGCCCCACTCGGACATCTGTCGGAGTGACATGGCATCCCTATTCATTAGGAGGTTATTTCCATCCCCCTCTGGATCATTCTGAGA